CGGTTGCACTAACATCACACATAATAAAAGTTGTTGAAAAAGTGATTAGGAATCAAATTTCTAGTTTTATGGAAAATAATGAGCTACACAACCCAGGACAACATGGATATAAAACGGGAAGATTCTGTCTGTCACATTCACCTAAACTATGACAAAATCACAGAAGCTTTTGAAGAAAAGCAAAATGCAGATGTTATATACACAGACTTTGCAAAGGCATTCGACAAATATAACCATGGAGTGATGGCACACAAAATGTGGTCAATAGGAATAACTGGTAAAGTGAGACGGTGGGTACTCAATTTCCTGTCGAACAGAACACAGAGAGTAACAGTTAATCAAATAAAATCGAGTCAAAGCGCAGTTAAAAGCTCTGTACCTCAGGGTACAGTCCATGCACCACTGTTTTTCCTTATTCGCATATCAGATAACGAGATAAATACATGTCACAGCTTCGTATCGTCCTTTGCAGATGACACAAAAATCAGAATAAAAAATACCTCTGCTGAAGACATTGAAAACCAACAAGCAGATATTAATAAAGTTTTCGACTGGGTAGCTGAAAATAACATTATTTTAACAGTGATAAATTCCAGGTACTCGGGTACGGTAAAAATTAGAACCTTAAATATGATACAAGGTATAAAACACAATTAAGTCTACCCATAGTAGGAAAGCAGCATGTCAAGGATTTGGGAATAATGATGTCCGACGACCTAACGTTTAGGGAGCATAACCAAGCAAATATTGCGTCAGCCAGGAAAATGATAGGACGGATGACGACAACTTTCAAATCCAGGGATCCCATCACAATAGTTACACTATTCAAATCACTTGTGCTGTCTTACGAGACAGCACAAGGACTAGCTCAGTACTCACTTCCCCCTTCAGAGTAGAAGAGATTGCTGAAATAGAGGGAATTCAGAGAACAAATACGTCACGCATAGACGCGATAAAGCACCTAAATTATTGGGATCGTCTCAGAGCTCACCAAATGTACTCTCTAGAAAGGAGACGAGAGAGATACCAAATAATATACACATGGAAGATACTGGAGGGCCACGTCCCAAATCTACACAGTAAAATACCAACGTACTGGAGTGAACGATATGGAAGAACATACAGAATAGAACCAGTGAAGAGCAAGGGTGCCATAGGTACAATCAGAGAACACTGTATAAACATCAGAGGTCCGCGGTTGTTGAACACCCTCCCAGCGAGCTTAAGAAATATTGCCGGAACAACCGTGGACATCTTCAAGAGAAAACTAGACTGTTTTCTAAAAGAAGTTCCGGACCAACCGGGCTGTGGTGGGTATGTGGGCCTGCGGGCCGCTCCAAGCAACAGCCTAGTGGACCAAACTCTCACAAGTCAAGCCTGGCCTCGGGCCGGGCTTGGGGAGTAGAAGAACTCCCAGAACCCCATCAACCAGGTATGTCCCTGAGGCCATGAGGGCCACACCCCACACACTCACAACATGTCCCCTGAGGCCATGAGGGCCACACCCCACACACTCACAACATGTTCCTGGGGTCATGAGGGACATTGAAAATTGTTCTTTAGTATAGTCACTGCTACAATGAAGGGACATATACAGTGAAATCACTGATACAATGAAGTCACTGTTACAATGAAGGGACATATACAGTGAAATCACTGATACAATGAAGTCACTGTTACAATGAAGGGACATATACAGTGAAATCACTGATACAATGAAGTCAGTTACAATGAAGTCATTGATAAATGAAGTGACTATAATGAAGGGAGGGAGTTATCAGAGGCAAGCGCCAAGCCATTACGACTATATAGCACTGGGTAAGGATCAGGATAGGGATTTGAGATGGGACGGGAGGGGGGGGGGAATGAAATGCTGCCCAACCACTTGTGGACGGTCGGGGATTGAACGTCGACCTGCACGAAGCGAGATCGTCGCTCTGCCGTCCAGCCCAAGTGGTTGGACCACTACTATAATGAATGAACGGGTACAATGGATTTACTGCTGGACGGCAGAGCGACGGTCTTGGTTCATGCAGGTCGGCGTTCAATCCCCGACCGTCCACAAGTGGTTGGGCACCATTCTGTTCCCCCCCCCCTTCCCGTCCCATTTCAAATCCTTATCCTTATCCGTACCCAGTGCTATATAGTCGTAATGGCTTGGCGCTTGCCATTGATAACTCCCTCCCCTCATTATAGTCACTTCATTGTAGCAGTGACTTCATTGTAGCAATGACTTCATTTATCAGTGACTTCATTGTAGCAGTGACGTCATTGTAACAGTGACTTCATTACTTGGAACTTTTTGTTCCAAGTAGCGAATCTTAAACAAACAACATATATATTATATATACTTTTTCAAAGAGGAGTATCATAATTGGTAATTACTTCGTGTTAAAACTTTATCCAGTTATATAAAAAAAATGTTTAGTCGGATCCATAAATGTGATTGAAGCATATTAACCTTAAAGTTTCTCTAAAAAGTATAATACTCTACAAATTTACGCTAAGTACCCAAATATTGAAAATATAGTTAACATATCTAAACGTTGGGAGAATTACAGATGATATTTTATATGCACTGTTCTTTTCTATATTTCTATCTACATTATATTAAAGATAATAGATTAGGCACCATAGCAATTCATAACGTTCATTTGTGGGGAACCGACCTGTGGGATTTGTATTTACTTGATTTGTATGAATTTGTATAGAATTTATATTTACGTTAATTTATATATTTCGATAGCCAATTGTATGACGAAGTGGACTGTATTTCTGCAAATTCTCACAAATCGACTCCTTTACAAACTTGGGGGGGGGCTTATGGAATTATGTATGTAGTCAATCAAATTACTGATTAAACTACGTAATATTAGTAATTAAATTGGGAGGTCTGATCTTATATGGCTGATTTTGTCGCAGCCAACCAGTAGACACACGAATGAACAAGCCAGTCTATACAACCAGCTTGTAGGAGTGGCTGGCCTCCAACTCATGTACTGGAGTACTAGGTTACTAGTGATTCTTCTTCCTCTTCAACTGTTCCTATCAAAGGGCACTTCCAATAATAGCAGTAATCCTATATATATATATATATATATATATATATATATATGACAGCTATATCAGAGAAAATATTGGTATACTGATTATAAGATAAGGACCAAGGGGTAATTACCTGGATTATGTTGTTTTCTCGTGTCCTAACTGGAAAATGATCCTATCCACCTAATATTACTGGCCAGGAATGTCGAGATAAGATTTTGGAAAGACACTTCCCTTGTTTAGATGATGACTGCGTATTGATAATGGTAGAAGCATTAATTTACTCTCCATATTCCTTCGTCCAAGGGAGTATATAGGAGTGGTATGCTCCTGCGACCCCTGGTCTAGCAACAATGGCTGTCTACTGAGCCTCCCACTGAGGCATCCCTTGTTCTCCAGATGTCAAGTAGTAGTAGAAAGGTCAAATTTACTCTATTTTGGTAACAATAACTCAGTTGATTCAAGTGAGATGTTTTTATGATGATAACAGCCGCCAAAGACTGCTGTATTAAGAATGTTTCCAACAGAATTAGCTGGTGAAATCAATTGTGCCTTGCGGCAATGATATCTCGTTTTCTATGAGAGGATAGTTCCACTGTGCTACATTTTCTGTATGAATAAACACTATTTCTAGGGTTAATTTGTTATTTACACAACAGCAGCAATATTATCTGCATAATGTATTGAATATTAGTAAATGGTGTCGGGTTTTCCAACATCATTAATGTAACTAATTGTTAAAGTCAATTTTCACTCTTTACTACAGAGTTGGACAAGAATAACAATTCCATCTGAAGCGGAAGTAATTAATGTGCTCTCAATTAATTTCCTGGGTAATTTAGGATATCATCGGCAGATGCTCTGCTCAATATGCAGCAAAACTGAATAACTTTGCTTTAGGAATAATTTAAACATTTTTTCTATAACTTTTCCTAGTCCATATAATGAATAAACGGAGATGTAAACATTGCAGCTAATTGGAGAAGACAACATTTCTGGTGAGGATTTTGGCCAGTTTGTATTAAATAGACAATACAGGACTGATAATTGAGCAGTTGAGAACTCATGATGCTTCAGTCGACCCTAAAGATTGGGCAAGGGAACGATGCTTCAGCCGACCCTAAAGATTGGACAAGGAACGATGCTTCAGTCGACACTAAAGATTGGGCAAGGCAACGATGCTTCAGCCGACCCTAAAGATTGGGCAAGGGATCGATGCTTCAGCCGACCCTAAAGATTGGGCAAGGCAACGATGCTTCAGCCGACCCTAAAGATTGGGCAAGGGATCGATGCTTCAGCCGACCCTAAAAATTGGGCAAGGGATCGATGCTTCAGCCGATCCTAAAGATTGGGCAAGGGAACGATGCTTCAGCCGACCCTAAAGATTGGGCAAGGGATCGATGCTTCAGCCGACCCTAAAGATTGGGCAAGGCAACGATGCTTCAGCCGACCCTAAAGATTGGGCAAGGCAACGATGCTTCAGTCGACCCTAAAGATTGGGCAAGGGAACGATGCTTCAGCCGACCCTAAAGATTGGGCAAGGGATCGATGCTTCAGCCGACCCTAAAGATTGGGCAAGGGAACGATGCTTCAGCCGACCCTAAAGATTGGGCAAGGCAACGATGCTTCAGCCGATCCTAAAGATTGGGCAAGGGAACGATGCTTCAGCCGACCCTAAAGATTGGGCAAGGGATCGATGCTTCAGCCGACCCTAAAGATTGGGCAAGGCAACGATGCTTCAGCCGACCCTAAAGATTGGGCAAGGCAACGATGCTTCAGTCGACCCTAAAGATTGGGCAAGGGAACGATGCTTAAGCCGACCCTAAAGATTGGGCAAGGCAACGATGCTTCAGCCGACCCTAAAGATTGGGCAAGGGAACGGTGCTTCAGCCGACCCTAAAGATTGGGCAAGGGAACGGTGCTTCAGCCGACCCTAAAGATTGAGCAAGGCAACGATGCTTCAGCCGACCCTAAAGATTGGACAAGGCAACGATGCTTCAGCCGACCCTAAAGATTGGGCAAGGCAACGATGCTTCAGCCGACCCTAAAGATTGGGCCAGAAAATGTTGTAACATAGAACTGGTTGACTCTGTTCGTATCAATGTGCAAGGTTAATTAATTTGGTGGAGTTAGGAGTTCAGTTTCAGTCTCACTAAACTGTTCTGTCCGTGAAACAGGTGTATCTTTTTCTTAACACTGGTGAGGACTTATAGTATACTCTCGGTGCCAATACTTGGAACAATATGGTATACTTGCCATTTTAATATATCATTTCAGGTAATGTTCATACCATATGATAGGTAGCGAGGCCCTGGCCGTGGGCATCAATACTTATTGGTCCTTAACATCAACATTTATTGATCCTTTACATCAGTATATATATTGATCCTTCACATCGATATTTGTTTATCCTTTATATCAATGTTTGTTGATAATTTTCAATAATATTTATTGATCATTTTCAATTATATTTATTGATCGACTACATCAATATTTATTGATCTTATACAATAATATTTATTGATCCTTAACATCACCCTTGACTGCTGTAAAGGATCGTGAGAAACAGAGTCTGCCTCTATGTAAACAAAAAGATAGATCGTTGTATACACAGAAAATGAAGAGCTTTGTGACACAGACAACGGAGGTTTACACTGACATGTTTTACCTATATTCAGAGGTCGTTGAGCACCCAATAAACAGAGGTCGTTGAACACCCAATAAACAGAGGTCGTTGAGCACCCAATAAACAGAGGTCGTTGAACACCCAATAAACAGAGGTCGTTGAACACCCAATAAACAGAGGTCGTTGAGCACCCAATAAACAGAGGTCGTTGAGCACCCATTAAACAGAGGTCGTTAAGCACCCAATAAACCGAGGTCGTTGAGCACCCAATAAACAGAGGTCGTTGAGCACCCATCAAACAGAGACCGTTGAGCACCCAATAAACAGAGGTCGTTGAGCACCCCAATAAACAGAAGTGATGTATACCAACAGCCGAGTGATTAAGACTTAATTGGAATTATATATTCATTTAACTCTTTCATACCCGGAAATCAACACTGACGCGTGTTCGCGGCATCCGGATTAATTTTCCGCTAATGCTCAGTACGTGGGCGGCGGCAACCGTCCTGTGATTTGTAATGTGTAATCAACAGCCAATACGACGTTTTCTGCACGTATGAAAGGTTTCAATACCATTATAATTTACATTGGTAGATGGAGTCCAGCTCATTATGCAGAGTTTTGGTCGATAATGAAGTAATTAAGTCCCAGAACATCTAAGATCTTTTTTGAATTAATTCCTTAAAAATGGGTCCAAATTGTATAATTTATATATTGTATAAATTGATGTTATATGGCTGCGTAATTTTAATTAATGCAGATTTATTGAAATTTATGTTTAAAACGATTTTAAAATTGTGGTTGAAGAAGATTTTTCCCAATCAATTTGGGGAGAATTTACTGATAAATTAATAAATAGAGCCCAAGACTATTTATCTTGTGCTATTTATCTGGCCAATTTGTCCAGAACTGGTCGTTCTATTCTTAGTCTAACGATCCTATTCTTAGTCTATCGTACTCTTCCTTTGTCAGAAAATTCACACGAATTAATTCGAATTAATTCTTCAACCCCAGATTGTAAAATTATTTTGTAAAAAGAAATATTGAATCTGCGTTGATACACATGACAAAGCCATTCAACATGAATAATAATAATAATAATAATGATTTATACACTTTGGACCGATTTTTAATGGATCAATAACAAAGCGATCTTAGTAAGAAGGATATACTAGATAACTATCCCCATAGAGACAGTACTGTTACTAGCAAACTTTTGCCAGTGGTCCTGAAACAACAGGTCCATGTCTATGCCCACTTTGGGTAGACATGTACAGAAAGAGACTTTCCATGCCCACTTTGGGTAGACATGTACAGAAAGAGACTTTCCATGCCCACTTTGGGTAGACTTTAATGGCTAAAGGACTATTGTTGACTATATGAAGAACGATAGTCGTAATGGCTTGGCGCTTTTCCCTGATAACTTCCTCCCTGCCTCTTTTTGTGTTAATTTTTATTTTTAAAATATTTGATTTTACATTTGATTTTACCCTAAACATCGCTAAACAATTAAATATGCTAAGTTTATTCAATGTTATTAAGTGCTTTGTTTTTGCATTTTGAGGAGACGTTGTCAGTAACTAAACATATGGACAGGACAGAGAGCCAAGCACAGAGGCACAACATGACCCCAAACAGCTGCCAACTTCCCCAAAAACATGAACTTGAAATGAAATGTAAATGAGAAAAAATTGAGAACAAAAAATAGAAGCAATAAGGAAAATGACTCATTAAACAGGATAAAAAATTACTCCAGCCAGTATTTAAACATATGAACCAGGCTGTTATGAAGCACTCTCGTGAACGAGAATGACTTTCTACACCCACTTTGGGTAGACATGTACAGAAAGAGACTTTCTATGCCCACTTTGGGTAGACACGTAAAGGAAGAGACTTTCTACACCCACTTTGGGTAGACATGTACAGAAAGAGACTTTCTATGCCCACTTTGGGTAGACACGTAAAGGAAGAGACTTTCTACACCCACTTTGGGTAGACATGTACAGAAAGAGACTTTCTATGCCCACTTTGGGTAGACATGTACAGAAAGAGACTTTCTATGCCCACTTTGGATAGACATGTAAAGGAAGCCAACTTTCGTACTTTTCTCGGAAGGAGGAGTTGTACCTCGAAGGTTGAAGTCGTACCTCGGAAGGAGTTGTCATACCTTGGAGGGAGAAGTCGTACCTCAGGGGAAGGAGTCATACCTCAGAAGGAGGAGTCGTACCTCGTGTCGGAAATTTCCGACACCCACAGCACTAACTCGTAGCAGAGCAAAATAAATGCGTTGTGCTAGGAAATTATAACCTCAATATAACCCTTTCAGTTACATGTGCTCTGTGATGTCTAAAGAATGGTTTATAGCACAGTAGCCTATCAAGTTACAATCGAGCAGGTCCCACTGCTCACAAATTAGCTAGGGTGGCACCGTTAAAGAAAACGGTAAATTGCCTCAATTAGTATCAACCCCTCTGCTTAGGTAGGCTTTAGGGAAATTAGTTAAGGTCAGCAGAGTACAAGCTAAGTCTGTACTTACTAAAGGAAATACAACTATGTTAACAGAGGCTGATGTCAATATCCTCATTTAAAGTTGAGGATGAGTTAGTGAGTCTTTTAGTGACAAGCCTGTGGACAGTAGCCTGAATGGCTACAAGCCATAACGACCAAGCCACTGGTCTCACTGCGGTCTCAGAGTCATCCTTGATTTTAATCAATGAACACCCTGAGTTCTCTGAATTAAATACAACTTAGCTAGGTTAGAAACTTAGTACCACTATGCAGTAGAAATAAATACCCGTCCGGAAAGGACTGCTGCATAACAGTGTAAACTTAAGCTTAGGCAATATTTGAATTATGCATAAACACATAGAATTTGTCGTTTAAGTTGAAGGTGACTCATATATCTCCGGTGATGAATTGGTGGATAGTAACTTAACCAGTTGCAAGTCGTAACGACCCAGGTCACCGACACCACTGTAGATTCAGAAGCCCTTTTGATTTAAAGACAGAATAAATAATTCTCTGACAACTCTTAGATAAGTTGGAATTTAATCAGTAGTTAGTGGTTGCCCGAGTTGACAGGACTAGTTGCCCGAGTTAGTGGTGCCCGAGTTAGTGGTGCCCGAGTTAGTGGTGCCCGAGTTAGTGGTGCCCGAGTTAGTGGTGCCAGAGTTAGTGGTGCCCGAATTAGTGGTGCCCGAGTTGACAGGACAAGTTGCCCGAGTTAGTGGTGCCTGAGTTGACAGGACAAGTTGCCCGAGTTAGTGGTGCCCGAGTTAGTGGTGCCCGAGTTGACATGACAAGTTGCTCGAGTTAGTGGTGCCCGAGTTGACAGGACAAGTTGCCCGAGTTAGTGGTGCCCGAGTTGACAGGACAAGTTGCCCGAGTTAGTGGTGCCCAAGTTAGTGGTGCCCGAGTTAGTGGTGCCCGAGTTGACAGGACAAGTTGCCCGAGTTAGTGGTGCCCGAGTTGACAGGACAAGTTGCCCGAGTTAGTGGTGCCCGAGTTGACAGGACAAGTTGCCCGAGTTAGTGGTGCCCGAGTTGACAGGACAAGTTGCCCGAGTTAGTGGTGCCCGAGTTGACAGGACAAGTTGCCCGACTTAGTGGCGCCTGAGTTGACAGGACAAGTTGCCCGAGTTAGTGGTGCCCGAGTTAGTGGTGCCCGAGTTGACAGGACAAGTTGCCCGAATTAGTGGTGCCCGAGTTAGTGGTGCCAGAGTTAGTGGTGCCCGAATTAGTGGTGCCTGAGTTGACAGGACAAGTTGCCCGAGTTAGTGGTGCCTGAGTTGACAGGACAAGTTGCCCGAGTTAGTGGTGCCAGAGTTAGTGGTGCCCGAGTTGACAGGACAAGTTGCCCGAGTTAGTGGTGCCCGAGTTAGTGGTGCCCGAGTTGACAGGACAAGTTGCCCGAGTTAGTGGTGCCCGAGTTGACAGGACAAGTTGCCCGACTAAGTGGCGCCTGAGTTGACAGGACAAGTTGCCCGAGTTAGTGGTGCCCGAGTTGACAGGACAAGTTGCCCGAGTTAGTGGTGCCCGAGTTAGTGGTGCCCGAGTTGACAGGACAAGTTGCCCGAGTTAGTGGTGCCCGAGTTGACAGGACAAGTTGCCCGAGTTAGTGGTGCCCGAGTTGACAGGACAAGTTGCCCGAGTTAGTGGTGCCTGAGTTGACAGGACAAGTTGCCCGAGTTAGTGGTGCCCGAGTTGACAGGACAAGTTGCCCGAGTTAGTGGTGCCCGAGTTGACAGGACAAGTTGCCCGAGTTAGTGGTGCCAGAGTTGACAGGACAAGTTGCCCGAGTTAGTGGTGCCCGAGTTGACAGGACAAGTTGCCCGAGTTAGTGGTGCCCGAGTTGACAGGACAAGTTGCCCGAGTTAGTGGTGCCCGAGTTGACAGGAC